TCCAGGTTACTCGATCTCGTAGTCACGTGCACCAAATAGAATATGTAGCACCATGAGTCTTTCTGTCTGACGTGGAGAGCGTCTATGGGAAACCGGTCGCCACATCCTACGTAGAACCCATGCATCTTTTCTTACTACATATTTCTGTAGCCTTGTGATCGTCTAGAATTTGTCTCTAGCTGTCTTTACTTCTGCTTCACGTTGTGTATTTACTTCTTCCAGTTTCTTAAGACCTTTGTCTTACCAGGAATAATAATGCATAGTTCGCTTCTACATTTTATATAGCATATAACTGAATACAGGTATACAAGCATAGCACAAATTACAATACTATATAGCTAAAACCACTTCTCCACCCTATCCAGCCTCTCGGCTGTCTAGGAACTCAGATGTACCCTCGATCTCTGGAATCTAATGCAAGTCTGACTTACAGGGTTCCCCGGTTTCTTTTAAAGGTAAGTGAATATCATGCACAATAACGCGTGATCATGGCCCTGAACTTGTGTAATTAACAAAATGATTGGTTACTTTAAATCAAATGATGCAATTAGAATAATTCCACTCACGTGTAATTCGGTGGTAAATGAGTGACATATGTTTTCGATAAATCGCTCTTTTTTATGTGTCAACTATCAATTACAGACTAAGTTGATTTAAGTATTTTAAGTACATATCACATATTATGCGAATATGTTATTTCTCGAGCAAAAATTCTACTAAAAGTATTACATTTGACCAAGAAAATTCATCTCGGTTTTCCGGCGTGGTTTCCCCTTGTCATTGAGTAGTGCAAAACATAGGGCCTGGCAAGGTCAGCTGCCTAGTCGTTCGGATAGAAAGAATAACCGAGGTGGCGTGCACGTAAAAGTTCCCTTGTAGTCCGGTGGCTGAAGGGGGGGGGGGGGCGATCGCCACCCGAGCTGTGAATTTATGAGACCAAGTTTTTCTAGACCAGTTTTTTGCGTAGATTCCGAATCTAGGTGGTGATCAGGCGTTTGAGGGATATGGGGGGTCCTATGTCTACAATTGCGGGAAAATGTGATTATGTTGACATAAATGTTGATGATGTTATATATAATAATAATAAAATAATAATAATAATAATAATATTTATATAGCGCTGTAACACCACACCTCAGTATGCTCGAAGCGCATTAAAAAGTTATCTCACTACGAGTTATATATAGCGTCTAAATAAGTAAGTTTTTATTCTTGATTTGAATATATCTAGTGATGAGGAACTTATGATATCTTCGGGTAGTTCATTCCACAAAGCAGCTGATGTATAACCAAACGATCGCGCACCAAATGTTTTTAAATTGATGTCAGGTTTATATAAACGTGATTGCTTTGAAGATCTTAGCATTCTGTTCGGCACATATTGTACTGTGAGATCTTGAATGTAATCTGGAGAGGTTTTGTGGACTGATTGGTAGGTGAGCGACAGAATTTTATAATCAATCCTTTCACGAAGTTGTAGCCAATGCAACGATTTCAATACTGGAGTAATGTGTTCTCGCGGTTTAGTTCTGGTCACAATTCTGGCTGCTCTGTTCTGTAATTTTTGTAATTTGGATAACTGCTCCAATGACACACCAGTTAGTAAGCTGTTGCAGTAATCTAATCGTGACATTACCAAAGATCTGATTAAAATTGCTGCGGATTCATTTGTCAGAAAATGACGAATTGCACCTATGTTTCTCAAGTGAAAATTGCAGATTGAGCATAAATAACTAATGTGTTTCTCCATAGTTAGTCCAGAATCCAGGAAGACACCAAGATTCTTAAAACATATATTTCTAGGATTGTACATCTCTAAATAAGTGTATATGATGCCCCTGGACAACTGTTTTGATTTGTGGCGAGGTGGGATGGGTGGTTGCAGGTGTGCTTGTGTGGAAAGGGGGGGGGGGGAATTGGCGGGAAATGAATTCACGTTGATTTAAATGATGATGTTCTTAGAACTTGATGAAACATCTCTACAAATATGTGTATAAGATTCCGACTGTGTGTGTGTGTGTGGGGGGGGGGGGCGCCGGGATGAGTGCTCATGGGGGGGGGGGGCAACATGCATTTTTGTGGACAGAAATCATTTGGTTCAATATTGACCTTAAAAGTGTTTCTCATTAGCATTTCGTTCAGTACCTATATTTGGTCATTCAAAGTATTAAATTATGATGGAACTTTTCAAGAGGTCTGGAAATGTAAATAAAAAAACACAGTAAATCAGAGAGACATGTTTAGATATTAGTTTATTCTTAGTCTTCATCAGAATATTCAAAATCAAAAGTTCATTATATGAGCGAGATAAATATCTTCTTGGTTGCTTACCAACAGCTCTCATATGTCCTTTGGAAATGCTTCAGATACCAGTTCACATTGTAAATCTTCATTCCAGCCATTTGAAATTTTTACCCAGAAAATCTTTCTTCTAGCGTCCTCTACTGATGTAAGTCGCCTTCCGCAATATTTTCTACCTTTGTCCGTCTCATTATCGATCAAAATGTGTATTTTGGGATCATCGTTTGCGAGGAGAACGATTTGGATGTCTATTTCGCCCGAGCAAGAACACAAAATACAATTTGTTTCAGCGCCTCCATTAATATGCAATGCGAAGAGGAGTAAGTTCTTGGATATTCTCGACACTTTCAATACTAATCTTGATATAAGTGTCTAGGAATATCTATAAGGCCTTCATGCTTTCAGTGGTAATGACCATCTGTTTTTCTTTTACAAGATAATTCCAACTTTTTAACAATTTTTGAAGAGCTGGGACAGGCAAATGATGTTTCTGATGACGTAATTACTGGAATAGAAATAATAATTTGTGCCATGTATGATGAAAGGCGACTTACATCAGTATGCGCCGACCATTCATAGACTACATAAGATAAACTACTTTTAAAAGCCAAACCTGTTTAATTTGTCTCTTATGGTTGGGGCTCTTTGAGTTATCAACTGCCTGTTTTATGGAATAATCTTCCATTTAGTATAAGGCCGTGTACATCTACATCTCTATATTCTTTTAATAAACAACTTAACACGTTTATTTTAACTTGCTTTAACTGACACCGCATACAACTGATAATATATGTCCATAATTTTGTTGGTTGGTTTGTTTTGTTGTAGGATTTTTTTTTTTTTTTTTTTTTTTTTTTGTGTTTTTTTATATGGTTACATTGTCACTTAGTAAAGTGCCACTGAACACGGTATATGAAAGGGTGCACTATAAATATGCTGTAATAATATATGCTGTAATGGTAATAAATATGCTGTTATAGTAATCTATAGAAAAATCTTATTGAAGGGTGGGATGGGGCAATCTATAGAGAATTATGGTGTGGGCACCAATCACATTATGTAAGATTTAGATAAAGAACTAGCCATTCTTGCTATAATAGTTCTAAAGAAGATGATGTAAAATGAATAATTTGAAAATTTCATTCAAATTATTCTATTGCAAGCGAAGATATTAGCCTTTGAAGGCTTGACAGACGTGTGCAATAATTTCAACCACCGTACTGGATGATCGAAGCTAAGTCTCGGTCCTCCATATAATTTGATTAAATCAAAGTATCGCTGAACCATTCTAATCTATTTAATATCGGAGAAATCTAATGCCATCGAGAGTTGATTAAGGCTTGGATCAGTTAATTAATGTCTAATTATTACTTTAGAAAACATTTCAGGCCTAAAGAAAGACCTGCAATAGGCAGATTTAGCTCTTGCAAAATGCATGTTTTAAGAAAGATCTTGCTGTGAAAGCCAAACTGAAAAAAAGCATTCTCAAACTTAAGTTAAGAATTTACTCCAAATTGTTCGCCTTATTTTAACTAAAATATAGCCCTTTATAAAACCTTTGCTGTTTTAATGTATCAAATACATGAATAAGAAACTGTGTAAAGTTTTGTGTTTCTGGATCAAAGAATTTCTTATAAACAGTAGGCCCTAATTGTAAGTTGAGTAAATTTTTAAGTCTGGGAATTTTTTTTTTTTAAACAATATTTTTATTCAGGTTGTCTGAATGGGATTGGGGAACAGGCTCTGCCTATGTAAAACCCCTCTCCCTAAATAATTTGTATGTATCATTAATACAAAAATGTGTGTATATACATAGTTATAATGGCAAACACATACCTATTATATAAGCAAAATAAAATATAATGGGTGAAAATGTACAGTATATATAGTAATTAATAATTATACATATACAACCATAGTAAGAATTTTTAATAATAGGCAACATTAGAGAGACTAACCAAAATTATACATAAAATAGACGATAAAATATTAATTGATCGAGTTTAAAATCTGTTTGACATATCTATAAACTTATGTCTGAGAATGCTTTGTGAACTCGGGGTCCGATGTGATGGATAATCTAAAGAAAACTCCTGTTGTGGGGGCTAATCCGAATAAGAAGTCTGCTGTGAGGGGCAATTTATATAAAATCATTGGGACCATAGAAATACTAATATTATTATAACAATTTAAATAGACCGGACCATGCAATCTTTACAAAATCGTCCTGTGTGCGCTAATTTACAGAAAAATCCCGCTGGAGATTAATCTAGGCAAAATCCCTGCCGTGAGGAATAACCTAAAAAAATCATTGGGACCAATGAAGAAAATCCTGCCGTGACACGAATCTAAATAAAAATCGTGTCTTGGGGCCAATCTAAATATAAAAAAAAATATGCTGTGAGAGCCAATCTACGATATAAATATGATGGGGTGGGGGCGGGGGTATATATAGAAAAATTAAAACATTGAATGTTTATTTCTTTCTTTCGTCACTTTTTGTGTATGTGGGGGGGGGGGGGAAGAATTAATGGCGTTATGGGTGAAAAACGATTGTCAAAGTTAGCGATATAAATAAGGTTATATTAGTTTATTGTTCTACTTTAAACCCATGGCCTGGAATAGCAGGTAAACGGGTTTTAACATTTATCTAGTAGACAATGTGGTCTGCCTCCAGTTGTTCAAATTATTTCCCTTGATATTTCCAAGGTGAAGGCTGACAGCTGTCAATCATTCTGCTCTGGTATGTTTTATGCCAATCTGTTTCACAGAGAATTACGAGTCTCGTATAATACCTCTGTCATAGATGACTGCCTTAACACGTGCTGTCACAGCACGCGGTGTGAATCATTGGCTGAATGACGCGTGCATTGTTTACATAAGCCATAACTGCTTCGGAGAGAATGCTGCATTTTAGTCATTTTAATACCCATTTACACTAAATAGGAAATAATTTTTACCTACCTGTTTTAGAATTTAATTTGTCGCAGGAAAAAGATAAATATTTCTAGCTCATTAAGCCGCATCAATGTCATCCTTATCAGTGATTGTCGCGGCCAAGCAAATATTCACTGCGGATCAGTGTGGTATTATGCCTGTCACTCTGTCGTGTCTACGAAAGAGTGTTCACCATTAAGAGCTATTGAATAGTGTGGAGAACGCTAGATCGGACACGGTCCTGCGCATATGACGTCAGATGTGGATTGTGCGTTAGGGTTAGGTTTGACCCAGGGTTAGGGCTAGGGTGAGCGCTAGTCCTGGTTATATTTCAAGACTGACAAAATCTGCAGGTTCTAACCTTACCCTAACCCCACAATCCACATAATATGACGCCCAGGCCCGTAGCCAGTGGGGGCAAGCCGGGGGGGAATGCCCCCCATAACATTTTTTTGCCCTCCCCCACCCCTAAAAAAATTTTGCCGACCATAGCTCTAAAATACCTACTGTAGACTGTGCCCCCCCCCCCCCTTAATAACTTCACTGCCTCTACGCAGTCAGCAAGCTGGCTACGGGCCTGATGACGTCATGTGTGCAAAAATGTGGAGGACCGTCTCCGATCTACCGTTCTCTTACTGATCAGTGAGTATACCCAATGACGTTCAAGACCTGGCGCATGTCCAGTCTTGACAGCATCCGAGTCATAACATCCGGTTCAGGCAGAAGGCGGGAAATGTGATAAGAGTGTAATACGTAACAGTAATTATTTATGTAGCCTGCAGATTCTCAATCTGTTCAGTATGGTGGCTGATTGGTATCATGTCGTGGTGTCGCCCTTCATAAGGCGACATCACGACATTTTTAACCCGACACTACATTTTCACCCGACACCACAACATGCATTAAAAATGTCGCAATGTCGCATAAAAATGTCGTATTGTCGCGTAAAAATGTCGAGTTGTCGTGGTGTCGGGTTGTCGACCACACTGATCAGTGAATATTCGCTAGACCGCTTCAATAACTGATAAGGATGACATCAATGCGACTCGTCGAGGTGTATATATTGACGATATATACACCTGATCTATGATGCGACTTAATGAGTCTCAAATAATAACTTTTTTCCACCGACAAATTAAATTCTTAAACATTTTTTTGATGTATTAGAAAAGTAAATAAACACGTTTGACGTATTTGTAGGTAAAAATTATTTCCTATTTAGTGTGTAAATAGGTATTAAAGGGACAATAACACTCTTGCTGGCTTGACAGCTCCAGAAAATAAAAAATAGCCTTATTCTAAGTACTAGATGTGTTAGTGTCCTACCTGTTGTGTAATTTATCCAGTAAATCCTATTTTACTTGTCCAGAGGGTTCAAAAATATTTTTAAATCCAAGTCACATTTGAAAAGCTTTACGTCGGGCTTTTCAAATCATTTAGTTGAATTTTTCCAATTTTTTAAATTAGGTGTGTTAAGATGAAATTTGTATCATCAATTAATTGGAATATTGTAAAATAGTACAATTTGTTGACCAGAATAAAGATTGGGACATATTTTTCAGTTACAACAAGAGTGGTATTGAGCCTTTAAAATGACTAAAAGGCAGCATTCTGCCCGAAGCAGTAATGTCTTACGTAAACAATGCACGCGCCATTCAGCCAATGATTGACGCCGCGTGCTGTGACGGCACGTGTTAAAGGCAGTCGTCTTTTACAGAGATGTAAGAGAAGACGTCGTAATTCTCTGTGAAACAGATTGGTTGTCGACTTTATTTATCAATGTTGAAGTGGCCACGAGATCAAGTCAGCACTCATTATCTCCTCATTCTTCACTTAGAATACTTACCCTTAACTAACTGCGAATCAAGCTAGCCCAGTGGCCCTCACTACCAAATTACCAAGGGCGTGGATTTGTCATAAGTTTTTATTTTTTTTATGGGGGGGGGGGGGGGGGGTAGGGGGGCGAACGAACTCTGGAACCTGGAACATTTCATTACCAAACGAAATAAATAATTACAAACAGTTTACTGTACCAGTGTTATTTCGATGAAGACTGTAATTAGGGGTAATATGATGACAATATGGAAAAATTGACTACCTACATGAAAGCTGCATAAATATTAATTGTTCATGAATCGTCCAAAGACGCTCGTTCTACGACCAGGACTGTTCTCTTTGTCATTATGCACCGCACACGCCATCAAGTGGTTCAGTCGGTTTTGCGTCACGGAGTTGCGCAGCCAAGTTTTGATACAGCGCAGAGTGCTGAAGGATCGCTCGGCTGAGCAGGAACTAGCAGGGTTCAGCAGTGTTACATGAGAAGAGCTTCGACAGAAGGGAATATCTGCCTCACTTCAGGTGATATAATGAGGAACGCTTCGTGCACTTGGCCGAAAACTGGCGCTTGAAGAATGGCAATTCTTGTTCTAAGTCCCGATTCAGTTCCAGATACGTAGAAACAAGCTCACCATCATGGGGATATAAACCTGAAAATCTGTCCTGGCGATCAAAATCATGAGGGGGGTGGGTGACAAAGACCTATTCGCCGCCCCCCCCCCTAAATCCACGCCCATGCAAATTACGGGTCTTAATACGAAATTCCCGATATCATGTTACACGTCACTGAAAAGCACGTTCACTGCTCTATTCAAATATATAAATAATTTTCTGGCACATTTATATTTAATTGCCTTGAGAGGTGATCAAAGACGAATGGTACAAAAATCTATTAAATGATGGGGGTAGGAGTATTCAAAGTAAATATACGGGTCTTAATACGAAATTCCAGATATATCACTGAAAAGCACTTTCAATTCTCTTTTCAAATATATAAATAATATTCTGACACATTTATATTTACTTACCTTGATAGATGATCAAAGTTGAGTGAAACAAAACTCTACTGAATGATGGAGTTAGGGTATTCAAAGTAAAATACGGGTCTTAATACGAAATTCCAGATATTATGTTACATATCACTGAAAAACACGTTCACTGGGGTTTTTTTTTCAAATATATAAATAATTTTCTGGCACATTTATATTTACTTGCACTGAAAAGTGAAAAGAGGGGGCGGGGGTATTTGAAATAAAAATGCGCGGCTTAATCCAAAATTCCGTATGTCTATACTGAACAGGGTCGTATGTAGGATTTTAAAAGTGGGGGTGCAGCAGGGTGGTGGGGGCACCAATATAATGCCCGAGTTACTGAGCGCGGAGCGGTGACCGGCAAACGCGTTTTCCACCCACTTCGAGCTGCAATCAAAGTCGCTCCCGTGTGTCAATTTCGGCGGCGCTATTTCTCATTTTGATGTTAAACACACCAAAATGAGAAACGTCTTGTCCGCTGAACTAGAACTAGTCCGAAATACCAATAAGGTCTTGTGGATAGGGTGACCAGAACGAGAATCTCTAATAATGTCATTTGGTGGCGGCGCCCCCAAAGACCGATAACGCCCTATCAAATGTGAATAAGGGCGACCAAAACGAACCCTCTTATGTCATGTGGTGGGTCAGGCGCTGACCCAGAAAGAGGTGATAGGAGGGGCACTTCGCCTATGGGGGCGGCACCCATGTCTGGGATCCTCCCTCAGAAAAGTTTGAAAAATAAAGCTGCAGGAAACACGTTTTTCGGCCACTCTGGTGATATCTAAGAGTCAATTTTGTATTTTATATGGTCGATTTTTTTTCAGGGGCGGCAGATTTTTTGGGAGAGGCATTTGCTCTGGGTGCCTGGCTCCTTGGATCCGCACCTGTGGTGGCGCCCCATAGCCTTCACATAAGTTTGGATCAGGACAAACGAATCAGGTACCCATTGGTGTGTGGGCGCCATTAAAACCGACCGATTCATCAGTGCCTTAAGAGCATCACCGTGTGATCATAATCAAGTGTATTATTTTATAATTGAAAGGTTGTCAATTTTTTTTGAGGGGGGCGCCATTTCTCGGGGTGCCTTATTTTTCTGGGGGTGCAATGTACCCCCTGCACCCCCGCTAGATACGGCCCTGGATGTGCTAGTCATGGTGATTCCTCCTCACAACATAACAGACCCACGCCCGAATCTGTCATGCTGTCTGACGTTAACGTTAGCATGACGCTCATTTATACGCCTCCAAACGCGAGCACGCCTATCGGTGAAATCCAGAGTAAATCTGGACTCATCTGTGAACATTACACGCGCCCACGACGATTACTCCAATTTCTATACTGCCTACACCATTGACTCCTGTTTGCCATGTGCTGGCGAGTTAATGGAGGTACAACACGCGGTCGTCGCGCATGCAAATGGGCTGCATGTAGCCGATTTCTAATTGTTTGGGGTGTAACTCGAATTCCTGTAACTTGGTACAAGTTTACAGAAAGTTGATTGGCCGTTTGTCCTCGATTTCGCAGGACCTGTGTACGAATGTATCGATCCTGGTCTAGTGTAATAATGATCTGAACGAGGTCTATCATCAGCATTGTGTGTTTGTTGGTACCGGAAAGCAAACATGGATAGGATAAACCAGCATGCGGCATTTTTCATCAACCCTTTCTTGAAGTGTCAAATTTGATAATGAACCCCTCCCACGTGTATGGCGCTATCGGCGTCCTCGCTGAAGGAATTCCCACCAGGCGTCGCTAGTAAAAACTCGGTTCCACGTGACCTTATCGATGATAAGAGACCCGTATCGAGATTAAATTCAATATTAACGACCAAAACTAACGTTTGTCAACACACCAGTTCGTAATGAATGTACAGGAAAACAATGCTGTATGGTAAACAATGAGGTCACGTGGGACCGCCTCACCTATAAATTATGCCCCTTTACCTCTAGCGAGGACGCCCATTGCGTGTCGCACGTGCAGCTCAGTGGTACTGTTGGGGCGATAAGATATTCATCTGTGAACATCCTCTCAAAGCATGATTATCATATCACAACCTGCATAGGTATTTGCATTTCAATATCCCCTACTTTTTTTGAAGAGTATATAATGTTTATGCGACATACTGTATACTTGTATGTTTACCTTATGCGTGGGATCGTCCTTAACCAGAAGGGTTGGCGCGTGCGCGTTGTATCATAAGGTCTGCCATTGAGTCAACTGGCGTGGTTTCGATTCCCCGGTTTTACGTGACAAGGAGTAGGAACGCCTGCCCAATCTCGTGGGTTTTCTCCGGGTCCCCCGGTTTCCCCTCCACTACTAAAGACTCCTACGCGCAAGCGAATTATTGAAATAAAATTGAACCACATGTTAGTCCCGAAATGACCTAGTTTGTGTCGAGCGGACGTTACCCCCCCCCCCCCTCTCTCTCCCCCTCTCTCGTCCTTAACCAGCAGCCATTTCCTGTATTATGCAAAGGGCATACAGCGGGATCTAGTGTGGGTCAAAATGTTAATAACAAAACCCAGTCTTTCATATTGAGTTCTTTTGTACAATTTGGAAAATGGCAGATCACTAACTATATTTCACGAATTAATGCCTAGTTCCCACTGGGGAAAAATCATCGGCGATATGGAAATAAAAAAAATTTCTCCCGATGGCTCCCGATGTTTTTGCCCAAAGAAACGGAGTAATCCCATGAGAAATAGGACTTATTTCTCCCACGTGACCACATATGATGTGTATGGTAGAAATCGGTTAACTGAGGACTTGATACACTCGCTGTCCAATAAACACTAGCCGCGGACTTGATACACAATCATATTTTTCCTTTTTCAGATCACACACACGAAAGATACACCTTAAACTTAACCGTAGAATACCGCCTAACGCGGAACTGGACGCTTGTTGACCTAAAAGAAAATCCAGTGCAGCTACAAGTATCTGCCGTAAAAATGGTGAATCATTTGTGTGTTTTGTATAAAGCTTTATACAATATTGTGTTTACTATTATACAGATTAAGCCGCATATATGAAATAGGCCACTGATTTTGATTTTTATTAAAAATTCAAATTCAAATTTATTAAATCTTCGTGTCGTTAAGAAATCATTATTATCCAGTTAGTAATTTATCTGGAAATCTTTTAACTACATGGTATTAGAACAAATTACACAAGGAAATACGCTACATCTTCCAACACTCATAACTTCGTTCAGAATGAAGTAACTTGATTGTATTTTTTTATATTTTCATTTTTCATTACCCTTTCTATACTATTATAGCAAGAACGGACAGCTCTTTATCCAAATATTACATAATGCATCATAAATGGGCTGTCGGGTTTTGCAAGTTTTTATGGTATGTTAACTGATACCAAATCTCACATAAAACGCTTCGAAAATTCACTTGTAAGTTGGCCGTTTTTTGTAGGTTCAACTTTATTAAAAGAAGACATAAAGAAAATGCTTTATCCTACTGAAAGGGTGGGTGTCGTGTTATTTGACATTTAAACCATTTAAACATCAGCTGCAAAAAAATATGATTAAAACACTGAAATGTTTGTTAGTCTGATAAATTTGTTTTTGTATCATTGCAGAAACGGAGAAAGTGATGTCATGGATAAATAAACAACTTATGGAATTGGAAATGCGAAAGATTTCGTTAGACTTTTCAAATTTTAATGTGTTTTGGGTACATTGAACTGATTCTTAGTGACCATTTACTATATTTGTATGAATTAAATACGAATGTATTTTATTTACAATATTTTAAGTTGGTAGAATAAAATACTTATATGGACTACCTCATTTAAAAAAAAAATACTCGATATTATTCAACTTTTAAACTGACACAATAATGATCATACAGGCTTAGAAATATAATATTTTGTTATTTGATTGTTCGGCTAACTATTTCGTTAGTTCATTTCACTGATATAGAGGTTGATACCTCAGGCATAAAGTTGTTGGCAAATGTGACATATTAGAATCGTGTAATCGTATTCGTTTTTAGTAACTATACCGATATTTTTCGCCTGCTTGGGGCAATGCCGAAAGAAATATCCGTAAAAATAAAGGAAAATGAAATTGTAATTTAATTTTAATAGAACCCGGGCTTGTGTGGAGTCATTTAACTCGTTGTGTAGGCTAGTCATTTGATTAATATCTATTTGCATTGATTCACTTTACTAGTCATTGTCGATTTGACTCACTGCAGTTAGTCGCGTTACTCATCTGTTGTGTCACATAACTCAGTAAAATAGTCAAAGAACACACTTTACCAGACGAGTCACTTGACTCATTTAACGAGTCGTTTTATGGATTTTTGGGTGACTCACAAAAATGAGTCTCTGGACTCATTATTTGAGTCCCATGTGCGTCCAAGTTAGTCAACGAAAAGTGAGTCGTTTTATGGATACTTACCCAAATGAATCAACTGACCCACTTTTTTCGCTCTGTGTAAAGACGAAGCCGGTTCGACCCCAGTGTTGCATACCAGAAAGTTCTGCGTGATATTCTAGCGTGGTGCAGGAGGGGGGCCCTAACTGCGTCAAATCTGAAAATCAAATGAACATAGTACACAGCAGTACCGGCATTGGTACACTGACGTAAATGGGGACTCCCATTGTTCAGTCTCTCCCGCATCATTCTGTATTCTAACTTTAAAGGGCCCCTAAAGCCCTGTGGCTCCGGCACAGGTGCGCTAAGTGCACCATGGGTAACCCGCCACTGCAAGATGTAACTCTACATATTTTAAAAGCAACAAAAATATGTACTGCTGAATAAAATACTATTCATATGGAAAGCTAAATATCAATTTTAATACAAATGACAAAAAAATGACAGTTTTTAATAGAATACCCATTCAACAAGCTTGAATGCATGAAAAGGCCGGACACATAAATGGGTTGCAAACAAGGACAGTGCAGCCGTCTATACATTTAGCCAATGAAATAGCAATGTACTTAAACCGAAGCCAATCAAATTCATGCAATAGAAATTGTTTTCGGGGCCAACAGAAGGAATACATCCGTTTTTCTAAAATCAACCAAAATACATTTTGAATTATTAAAATAAATCAACCAGTAGTATCCCGGATCTGATTGTGCTTATATTTTTTTCACGTTCACGGAACATCTTTGCATTACAATGCTTGGATAATTTCATTGGATGTTTTGATCAGATCCAAAATATATAAATATATACACTGTTGATCGTTTGCTTTATTCGATTCCAACTTTCCTGATCTTGGTAATTAAGATTCGAAGAATTTCAAGATGCTGCGTTTAATTTTGGTGAGTATAGTAATACTTTATTTTAATCAATGTGAATTTCGAAAGATAATTTGTAAAGTTTATCTGTAATACAATTTGGTATTATCGTTAAATTTTGTGAAAAGGGATGTTATATTATAACAGCTAACAATGGTTAAGCGCGACCTTTAAAGCACCTTAAAACTACGTTCCCAGAAAAGTATTTATCGGGTGGTTATTTCCAATAAAAGTATGGCAATTTTAGTGTATATCAGTAGAAATATCCAATCTTGCTAGAAAAATACTGGATTCCCTGAAAAACACTCATGGAGCGCATACAGGACAACAATATAAGGGTTTCCCTAATCGACAGCCCGACGATTAGGGGTGTCTGCACGGGTAACGTCGAAGGTTTCACTCGGAGATTGAGCGCTTGATGTACATTTTGATAAACTTTACGAAGAATTAGACGTACAACCCTTTCTGAGATAAAAATCACGGAAAAAGACGCGGGCAGTGGATAATCCGAAAATTTAATTAGGCTTCGATATTTGTAATAAACAGTCAGCGATTAAAGACAACATCGTCTTGTGTATGCAATGAATTCTCCTCAGACTTCGCTTGCGTTGCTAGGTACCGAGAGAGGTAGTCACGTGAAACTAACATGCCCTCTTTTGATCGATTATTTTCTAGCCAGGGTATTCCCCGACAATTGCAATGTTTTGAGAAGGGTTAGAAGCAAAATTATGATAAATTAATTAGTTTGAATATGTTTTTAGTCCAAATATATTATCAAATCACCCAGTTTGTACCCGGGAATGTATCTCTTGAATTATATCAACATTCGCCATATAAAAACGGGAACTTTATAACTAGGCTAATATTTTTCGTGGCTTGAAGATGTCAATTAATAAAATCATGACATGAGAGGCGGTGGTGTGGGGGTGGGGCATTCTGTTGAAAAGTACATTCTTTGTATTCTAACACCGTGACATTGGATACGGGAGCAATGGAAATTGCAATTTGCAAAACTGAAATACGTATATTTTGAACTGCTGATATTTTATGCAGTTTACTCCGAACATTGACGTAATATTGGCAACGTTATTCTTCCATGAAATATGACATAAAAGTAGACTGAATAAACAAAAAAGATAAAGTAGAAGTGTTGTGGAAGCATCGACTGCGAGAACGCGCAACATTAATTAATTTTAATTCGACACTGATGATTCCCATTCCTTTAGGCTGAGATTTCCTTCCTGCACTCCCTCAGCTCCGAACCACATAAATGAGACTATTTGATCCCTTTTTAGTTTCTGTACTCACAGGCCAAATCAGTAGGCAAAGCCGCGGATGCTACACGAGAAGTTTTTCAGTCATTTCACATTGACCCACTCCCAATTCATCGGGCGCCTTACGTCTATGAATAAAATGTCTAACTATATATAGCTATTGTTACAGGTAACCATGTTGGTTGCCATTACCGCTGCCCAGCGGGAATTGCCCCCAATTGCACCAACGTGCAGTTCTGTGGAGCCTCCTATAGATACCAATGGATTAAACTATGTTGAAAGCACGAAATCAGCAGCGCCGACATTGACAGATGCGATGGCTCAACGGCTTTTTACAGGTTCTTCCAGGTATGTAAAACTTAGCAAAACTATTGTATGTAGTAAACTCTGCCATGGTTGTTGGCTTTATAGTAACAAACCAAATTGATTGTTCCACAGCAAAAGTAATTGTCGAGTACAAATAATCCTAATGAAATGAAATGGGGGGGGGGGGGTATAACGTCCCACTTTTCTACGCCAATCGGGCAAATGGAGACGCATCCCAAACTTAGGCTACCTCTCTACAGTTAGCTCCGCCTGAGAATAGGCCCTAACCTAATTAACCGAGATTTTAATTTCTACATCGACGATTTTAGTCGAAAGCACCGAGTATGCCTTTAGGAATTTTTAGAAGCATTTATTTCTCTTCTATTTTCACATTGAATGAAATTTAATATGTTTATTTAGCCGTTGTGTGTATGAAAGATGTCATACGGATTAGAGCGGAAGCACGAAATAGGTCACTAATTATTCAATATGGCGGCGCCCATGAAAGATACGTTCATAGAAGCGACTTTGTTTGCGAAGACAAATTTAGGAGTAGCTAACCTTGTTTTGAAAGATAAACAGATTGAAACTCTAAAGGCAGTTTACAATGATAAAGACTGTATTGCAATATCACCCATTGGCATAATATATTATATATCGCTTTTACCGTAATAGCAGAAGTCGACATTTCGCTAACTTGACATTATTTGTTTACATAAACCAAGTGCTTCGGTTATAAAAGGTAGTATATAAACGTCATTAGCCGTAAAGTCCCGCCCAAAAATGATCACGTGAGCGTTTTAAATGTACGGCATTTAGCGCAGTAATGTATTCTCGAGGTATGAAGTAGATGCATCGCTGTGTGCAGTATGATGAAGACGAGAATACGTCATACGTTTGCTATAATGAAAATGTTGACACGATAGCGATACTATAGCCTACTCTTATTTCGATTTTCTACTGCCAAGGGTAAAGTGTGCACACTAATTTGTACATGGGCCTCGGTTTTTCGTCCTACTCGACCAGGCAGTGTTTCTTGTTACCCCCCCCCCCGCCTACACCCCACGTGACTATTCGCTTGGCCGATACACTCACTGATAGGGGTGACATCGGTGCGGCTTAATGATCCCCCAATATTAACATTTTTCCTTCTGCAAATTAAATTCTACACCATTTTTTTGCCAACAAGCCCATCTCAACTCGATTTAATATGGACTATTAAAGGATTTAGTTTGTGTGTAATAAGTACTTCATATTTGAATTTGTTACGAGTCTCAAGCATTTCTCTAAAACTGCTTTTAATTCACTTTTACGCCATGTTTTTACTTTTTTATTCAGTGAACGTGGAAAAAGAGCTGCAAGAACTTCAACTGAATTGGCCCGGACCGAATTGAAAGATGCCACTGGAAGTATAATACTTTCTCAACCCCGATTCACGTAAATATTACAACCAATTACATTTTATCATAAAATACATTAATGCCCTCTTGACGCCAATTTTATATTCAAATGATTTATAAACTTTTTGGGAGCATTTTCTAAACATTTGATTGCCAATGGAATAGAACAAATTACATCTGGAATTGTCCCCTTTTCCCTCAAATTTTAATACTTAAGTGATGAACATAAGGATTGGGAATGGGTTCCTTCATTTTTAACTGGTAACTTCTACATGCATACATGTCGAAAAGTTTACATGGATCAGCAAACTAAATCGGCATTACAATATCGAAAATTTCACTGTTTATTTTGCAAGCAACAACAAAACAATAAATACCGACGCATTTAGATTACTAATAAAGCATAGTTTATAAAATCTCAATAATGTATTAAATAATTTAAACCTTAAATATTCTATTTACAGTGTTAATCGTGCCACTGAACCACGATGTCTTTGTCCTCACCGAAATGAATTGTTGACAAGCTTCAAATACAATGGTGGATATTGCCATGTTCTATTCCCAGAGTTTCAGGGCAAATATTACACCCGGTGTCTGTAAGTATACTTTAACACATATCCTCGATGACGGCTTAAAGAAAACTAATTTATAAAGCTCCTTTTGAGAAATGTTACCTATACTTTAATTGACCAAAACACCCTCTTAAAAAGAATTTTTATACACCCACATTTTCATGTGGGCATATATTTTCGTCGTCTCTGTCCGTCCGAAAATCCGTCCACTTATATATTATTGACACTCTGCAGGTCACAATTTTTATCCGACTTTGACAGAACTTGAAATATAGGTTGATATCCCACATATCTCGGTTCCTTTCTATATTGGCATGTATCGAACTGCAATTTCAAGGATTATGGTCAGAGGCCTGCTGGGTAGGCAGACCAAACATAGGTCGGAAAAATGTTGGTTCTTTGGCACATGCTGTAATCGATTTGACGTTATGTCGTGACACTTGTTGAGGGATCTGAACAAGTTTGACAACAATCAAGAACTAACCGACCCGTGAGTAAAGAAAAACAAGTATCAAAAGGGCCTAGTATTCCTTAATAAGGATTCCTGCCTAGTTTTAGAGCGGGAGCCCCAGGGGATGGCGGCGGGCAACCTAGCTGAAAAGTGTACTTATTTTCTCCTATATGGTATCAATGCATGTATATCTGGTATCAACAGAATGTAAGTCTGTCGGGTTTATGATGGCGGGTGTGGCTGTGAGGGTTGTGATTCTGGGCGTGAATTCTTGGGCTAGATTAGCTCAAAAGTGTACCACATGGAAATCGCACAGCGGTGTACTGCACATTTTCGGGTATTACCAAAACACTGACAGCCATTTCTAGTGGTGTGTTTCCGCTTGTAGATGGGCATGGGGGCAAGGAACTACTTGTAATCGTCCGGATGGGACGAAAAAACCGCGGCCCCGTGCAGCGTTGGTGAGCACGTAAAATAACCCCTGACAGTTGGAATTTGATAAGAGTATACTTATAGCACATTGCGTAGTGTATGGCCGTTTTCATTAGCCTGGTCGGTGCAGAAACGTGTCATTGTTAAACATTCTTTCATGACGGATATTATAATATACTGATGTATGTTTGTAACATACTAAGTTTAGTTATTCGTTTAACCCTGATTCTGTGAGACAATCAATCCTCATTATTGTAAAGCTTAAAAAACGTTACAAATAGTAATGTGAATGGTGGGAACGACGGCTGACTTTTAGATCCCAAACGTTTTTATTCTTCCTTTTCAGGTACAGGAATTGCTTAACTGGATGTGTGTCAACAACTAATGGTCGCCGCAACCTGTGTAGACCCAAAAAAAGCTATTCGACTGTCTCCGTTTGGTCTATCTGTCTTACACCAATATTCCATATCAAGAAAATTACACTTCGAGTTCCCACAGGTGGATGTGAATGTAAATCTTATCCACCAATATGCCAGTTTCTTAGTCCATTTACTGTAAGAGTGTAAAAGGTTAAGAGACCACTTTTAACCATACAATCGGCAAAAATATTCTGACATTTCGACATTTTTTAAAATTTGCTCACAATGTTTAATATAAAGAAAAGCACGATCAATATCATTGTTAAATTCATACCGTACATTTAATCAATTCTTTTCTGTATACATGGACAAATAACTTACATTCATATTTTACTGATGTGCTATGTTTTGTTTAATATATTGTCATTGCTTTAGGTATATTTTTGATCACTTAGTGAAATATATTATGAAATGTCGATAAAGTGTTCCTTATTATTTTACCTGTCAACGCCGTTTTTCCAAATATTTATTGGAACTAAAAAACGTTGATTCTGGATAAAAAAACATAAGTAACTCTAACCAGCTTTCGGGAATAGTCGATGACCATTAAAACCAGAAAAAAATCTGAGATCCTGGGCATTTTTCTAATATTGCACAGCGATACCGTTAATTGAAATAGATTGAAGGATATGGCAACGCGGTTGATTGTTATTGATATCGGCTGAAAGATATCACTACTAGGTTGGTGGTAATTGATTATAATAGTTTAAGTGATATTGCAACTAGGTTGATGGTCATTGATATAGCCTGAAAGATATTGCAACTAGGTTGATGGAAATTAATGCAGATTGAAGGATATCGCAGCTAAATTGTCGCTGTTGGGCTAGATCAACAAAAGATATCACAGCCAGAATGACGGCTAAACTAAAGTATAATATTGCAATTCTTTCACTGAAAGTCATTTGCAAGCACATGACTTCTATTTTCCATTACTAATAATTACTTGTGCAGAATTGTTATACATGGGAAATGGCTTTTCCACCTACACCTTTTTGGAATTCCAAATTTAAAGGGATCTTCCAACGACTTTATGCCCGAATATGCCACTCGCCCTTGATAGGGATGAACGTAAATACCGATCGTGAGCTACTATATAAATCATATTCCTTTTATATAACGCTTGCGATACCAACAATGAAAACTATAAGAAAATTTTGCTTGGACAGCGGCGCTTTTGCCTCTCTTCATCGAATTCCCTCTGTCACGGACTCTTTTACGTGAACAACAACGTGCACGCAGTACACGGGCTTTTCTCACCTTCCGAATGACTAGACACTGGAACTTACCAGACTCTCTATACTGCAACACCGATTAGGGGAAAATACATTGGAAAATGGTGAGGAAGGATTTGGAACAACATCGGTATTCTTACCGTAACCTGCTGGTTTATGAGCCAGTGCCTCACTCACCGAGCCACCGTGCCTTCTCATTCTATATTTATTTTTATAACATTTCTTGGTTCCGGAAAATAATACTGATTCGTGCTGTGGTAAATGGCGAAATTTGGGTGTTGGAATTAGTCTGCAGAAAACCACTGCATCATGCAAATGGGCGGGGACATTTTAGGGTGAATTGGCTCCATGGAATAGAGTTGGTTCGGTAACCGTAAACACATGTACTTTTTCAGACCTAATGCGAAATATTATATCAGTATGACATTTGCAAGGGTAGTATAATCAAAAATAATCATAAAAATCATAAAACAAATTAAATAAAAATGTGTTTATTAATAATTAACATTAGTTCAGTAAGTTCTAACCAATCTTACATCACAAACGCCACGATTCTGTTTTTGGTGGCCAAGCAACTGTTATCACAGGTATTTTGGGGGTATTACTTTAAATTGTAAAAACAATTGGAGTTGATAGTGTGGGTAGAAGGCAATTAAAGACAAGTCTTATTTATCTATCAGTCACGGTCAAAAATGCAATGCCCTGTCACGTGCACTTATATAGTATAAACATAATTTTGCTGCAGCAAATGTTCATTTAAATAAAATAACTAGAAGGGTTGTTCATTTGCTCAGTTAATCCATAAACGTGACGCAATACTTCATTTCACTCTGTGACGTTCCGGGATTTTTATTCTACTCAATGGCATCGGCTCTTTAAATATAAATCAGAGTCTTTTTGACCAAACTGTATGTGAAATAGCTTTATTTAATGCCTGCATCCACCGAAGTGATATCGCCGACAACATGTAAAGAAAGTCCTAATTATTTATACAGATTCAAAATGAAATCCTAATAAACCGCAAAGTTGTTCTTATGTCATGTTTCGTTGAGATTCTGAATAATGTTCAGGATGCTGTCTCTCAACTTGGTGCCAGTTTAAGTAGTGATCTGAAAACTATAGAGATATATATAATGCCTCGTGTCTAGGAAAAACCTTTACCCACATCCCGAAAGATTACTAAAATTGAGGAAAAAAACATAACATAATGTCATTAAGCCAGTTCGGGTTTCAAATGAATTTAGGACTGCGAATTTGTCAATATTATATACAATTCATAGCATAAGCTTATACAACAGAGAATAGGAGGTAACATTCTTAATAAAGTAGCCAGGGGTCTTTGGGACAAATTTAATTCGAAAATAATTTATCAGATAATATTTCAATATCTAAATTGTATGTTCCAGAGCGAGGTTCTCTCCCTTGTTCTATTTTCATTGTGTTTGAATGGTTGCGAATTTCATCCACTGGCATATTATGATGTTCAACTTTGGACATAAAGCATAATTATGTATGCTATTTTCAGAAACTCTATATGTACTTATACACAAAAATGAGATTTATGAGTGAATATTTCAAAATCAAAATCGTAATTTTTAGAATTGGGGGGGAACATAGGGAAAAATAGATGAATAATATAGGCATTTTGTTATCAAATCTAGAATTTGTTGATTCTTTTAACTAGTTAAAATTTAATGGTAAAATTATAGAACGCAAACAAATGTATCTGACCAGGCAGGAAAAAACTTCATTTTCAGTCTTAAGGATGCTAATTAAAACAATTTCAACACAGTAACCAAATTGTCAGTTTTGCATATCATGTAAATATGTTTCTTTTCTTTTTCTGTTATGTGTATTATTTGTGTGTTTTAACGGCGGGACCTTGACCCAAGGGAATAAAGAACTTGGACGAACTTGATAAAAGCGATGATAATGGGTGATCTTAAAGCTCCATGGGCGGTGGTGCCAAACGCTGGAAGTGCCGAAGGCGCGAAGCGGACAACGGGACCTCCCCCGAAAAATTTCGAAAAACTAGAAGCCTGGAAATGTCATTTCCAGAGAGCTCAGACTAGACCCGCTCTTGAACTCTTTTGTTAATTAGTGTTGTGTAATTAATGGGATGGATGGATAATAAATATGGATTTTGACCACAGAATTTGTCCTTTATGAGAATTATACAATTGGCGGTGAATACCACTATTGCGTCTAGTGTGTATTTTGTATAAAATATCTTCTATTTGACGCTTAAATGTGTCGTGACTTAAACATGCATTATGCAAGAGCAAAATATGCTTATTACAAGTCTTTCTTTAGGCCTGAAATGTTATCTAAATTATCAATTAGACATTAATTAACTTATCCAGACCATAATAAACTCTCGATGTCAAGGCTAGCCTTCGATGTTGGCTGGATTAGATTCCTATATGCCGCTAACGGTCATTAATAATTAAATCAGAAAAAGTGGATAATCGAGACTATGCTGTTTATATTATTAATGATTTTAGTAATGATGACGGAGACTATGCAAAAATTTCACCCGCTTCTTTCTCGGCTCATAGTGGATCAATTTGACTGAAATTTCCAGCAAATTACCTTTACACTATCTAGTTTTTAACTATTATAGCGAGAACTGCCATCTCTTTATCTTATCTCCCATAATGTATCTTTAAGTGCCTATACCCATTTAAAAGACTGTGAATGCCCCAACTCCGATGCGCTCACTTTATTAGAAAATCAACTATTCAGTAACTTGGAAGCATACAATTTGTAGTGTGTATCACTCGTATGCCACTAGATCGCGATAGTGTTATGCAAAAGTCAAAAGAGCTAACTATCCACCCCACATTATGTTGCATTGCAGACTCCAGAATCTACCATCGCTTCTTTGGAATGGCTGGAAAGTAGTGAATGGGAAGTGTTGTCTATATGATACACACCCGGTGCTCTATGTCAACGTGTTTAAAACAACTTCTCAGTCGATATCTCCCATGTATATGATCTGAGTTGTGAATAAATTTATTTTCTGCTCTAAGTGTACAATATAAATCTTAATTATTATACTAAAATAAGAAACCATAATTTATACATTCATAGAAAGCGGTATGAGTAATGAGTAGTACTGACTAATAAAACTATATATGGATCTGGTCTGATAGCCTAATATTATATACCTATTTGGATAAACATTATAATAACACCTTACATGTAAATACAACCATTATAATAATGATGCGATCGCATGCATTACACGCTATTATATATTATCCCAATCGGTGCAGCAAATAAAACGTTATAACCCCATTTCATATCTCTATTTAGGACGAGTTTTTGTCCGGATGCTTTTTGTAATTATTTTGCAGACCATCGCACCCCATCCCTAAACGTTTAGTATACTAAAAATAATTGATTTAATTTTAATTTGATACTGTTGCATCTTATGAACAATAAATTTTGATACCTCTAAATTAACAGTAGTTGTTTTTAAAATATTCAGCATTTCAAATTACAAATATCAAACATTTGCCAACGTGATTTGGGACAATTTTGATGTAACAAGGTAAATATAAAAAAACCTGTAAAATTAACCCCGATGCACACAACCCAGTAGACAACAGTATTGCACGTCATGTTGTCGAAGTAGAAAATAAAAATTCATTTTGTCAGTTTGACCTATTGAATATCTAAGCCTTTCAATGATAACATTAACAGATATATCACGAAGCATAATAAACAGCCCGGAGAGCAGAGTTTTTAACAGTATTTTATGAAAGGACGGGGAAATTTACGTGCAATATTTAATGAGCTTTTATCCAATGAAAAGATATGTTACGAGTGAGTTAAATGAACCGTAAAACATGACGGCATATTAAATCCGTTGTATTTTAAATGTAGCCAATAAAATTTATGCCGTACAAATAGCTACATCCATTCGAAAGACCATGATCAATTCTTAACATTCCTCGGTTCCTCCCGTTATTAACTATACTCGGGTATTATGCAGGTGTTGAGGAGATTTTATTTCCATCTTTCACGATCTGGGACAGGATAATCGACGCGTGATGAAGTTCCCTCTAGGGCATATCACTAAACAACCTATGAGAATAGAATATTTTGTTCATTTCCTTCACTGCTCCTAGACAATTTTAAGGAAAACGTAGATTATATGCATTTATCTGTCACACCTTTATCCACAAGCTAATTCATGATGATAATAGATAATATATACGTCGTGGTTATTTGAATATTGTATAGAGTTAGTCATTTGAACTATTATAAAAAGAACGGCCAGCTCTTTATCTTACATGATAATATCTTTAGGGTCAATACTGAAGATAGAACAAAATACTGAACTTACTCCTGGAAACAAAAACATGTTCATTTTATTTGATCTCCAGCAATAACTTCTCTGGCTAAGGGAAGAAGTAACACGATCATTTTTTCTGCGCTTCTAATATTTTCTACAGGATCCATTCTGAAAGGTAGCATTCAACTCAATCCATACACATAGCTGCTATATAGTATTACCTCTTATCTTACTTTGTGTATGCCCTACTAAGTGAGTTAGACCCGAATCCAGTCGGACAAAGCTCAAGACGGAGGTTATGCTTGGGACAGAGAGATTGAAGAAAATAACCCGAGAAAAAAACAAGTCGAGGAGTTTATCTTGCTTATAAACCGTCTGTGTTTACATGTACGTAAAATGAGAATATCCCAGAATTCTAGTAAGAAAAACAAAACCTTATATTATGTTTTTTAAAAACCCTACCCTGGAAGAATAACCCGTTACAGGTTTAATGAAAAGCTTTCAGAGGAATATACCCCAAAGATCAAAGAGATTTACCGTTACAGGTTTATAAGGACACACAATGCATGTATATACCTTAATGAGAAAGTCCTAAATTTTCTAAACCAACAAGGTTCATCCTCTTTGATCTCAATAATTCGCATCAAATTTGAAAATCAATATGGTTTAGCACCCCAGAGTCCCAATGCTTCATACCAAAAAAAATCAGTTAAACAGTATAGCTTCTATTGCAGTAACAAGCTTTTCAGTAAAGGGGGGTAACTACAAAACAGAAGATCGCGTAACGCTGCTTATAGGTAAGATTCGCCCTTTCGATCATATTCAAAAAGCTTCACACCAAATTTGAAAAAAAAATCTGTTAAAAACTAGTCTCTATCACATTAACAAGGTTTTATAAATAGAACAACTATACTAATTATTATTGGTAAATATTGGGAAACTTCCCAATTTTCAAAATGCTAGACAGACGTAGCATATTACAGAGTTATTGTGTCCTACAAGGTGTGCATACAGGCAGACTGACAGATAATTCGCCTATACGCGGAAAATAGTCACCATCTGACTCAGTAATGACAGTCACCGAATGCAAATCTAAAAAGTTTGAAAATTGTTCTACCCCAATCAGACGCAGAGTTATTGTGTCATAAAATGTGCGAGGATGCACGAGCTACTTTTATCCCCTGGTTTCCTTGAAAGGCTTAGATATTTTGTTATGGTCACAAGTGCATTTAAATGCCCGATGTGCTACTAAGGATTTAATGAATAATTCGAGGGCTGAAAGCCAGAACTGACTATCTCCAAAATTGACGTTTTGAGAAAATGAAGATTTAAAGTTTGACTAAATTTAAAAAATCAGGTAATTGTTGGATTTAGATGATTTTTGGTAATTACGTGTGTATTAATAGTTGAAAACAAATTCTGAATGATCAATAGGCTTATTGCAGTAGTTTTCAATTTATTTCATAATAATGGATATAGACAATTCTGGTTGATATAAATGCCCCCAATATGGGAAGTCAACATTGGAGATATATGTGCATAATGCTCATACCAAGTTATGAATAGACTGAACAGAAGTCAGAAATTCAGTATGCAAGCCCTGTGCTATAAGGGGAATTTTGCCTAGACAGCATTGGCGGATTTAGGGGGTGCTATAGGTGCCCAGGCCCTCTAAACTTGGACAACACAGCATAAAAACACTGTTTGTTTTTTTTTTAAAAATTGTTTAAAATAATTATTCGCCCCCCCCCCCCCTCACCTATTTCAAATTCCTAGATTCGCTACCACCGCCACTGAAATGAATAAATGAATGAACTACTTTAAAACATTGAAAAATGCATTTAATTCAAACAAGTAATTCAAATACATTTTAACAAATTGAACATTAAAGGTACATTATGGGAGATTTTAATAGAGAGTTGGCCATTCTTGCTATAACAGTTCAAAATAGACGATGAAAGAAGAATATATTGAAAATTCCAGTCAAATTACTTTATTCTGAACAAAGTTATCACTATTGTAATTTTTGACTAGAAATAGGAGTCAAATCTCTCTTCACCGTCTCCGATCGTTAACTCCACCTACATAATCTCGATTATCAAGTAACGTTTTCAATGGCTGTGGTTTGAGACGGGGTTGCAATTCAATTCGTATCACTGATTCACATTTATTTTTACTACAAATTAAAAATAAGACTTTTAATATATAGATAAGAAGCGAAAGTTTGAAAGGAATGGACCAAATCAATGAGGCATAATTATAGCCGACTTCTTGTTAGCCTGCGTGTACTCTTGTACTGTAACTGGTAGGTCTACGTAACTCACGAACAGTGATCCAATGGAGCTGCAATTTAACTGGGGTGATGTTAGCTGCGATGTTTATCAATTTCCATAATTTTTCTGTAAACGCAAGTGACAAAAGAGCGTATAATACCGACATCCAAACTCTCATTTTAACCACAACTAAACATAATATCAAGGCCGTATATATCGAACTTTCAATCAAATTGACTGACATGCGGCCACGCTCAAAAGCGGCCTCGCTTCGCACAATCTATCATTTAGCCTCGATCTAAAATTATTTCCGGGAGTATGACGTCAACGTAACGGTTAATCTCCGCTTACGACGCCATTTAAAAATTTAATCAATCAACGAAATCCTCTTTAAATCCAAGCCGAATCCAAGCCATCCGTGGGTCTACAGAGTTGATTTTGTGCTTGTTGTGTAAATAAAGATCTAATTTATAATTTCTATGACATCTGAAGCCTAAATAAAGACTTGCAATAATCAGATTTAGCTCTTGCATAATGTATGTTTAACGCACAGAATCCACTATCTGAAGACCTAATTCAAATACATTTTAACAAATTGAACATTAACACACAGAATCCATTATCTTGTTTAGTGTTGATAAGAAAAATTTCTTACATACACGTTTTTGTTGTAATTTTTCTGTTGACATTTTCGGCAATGAGTACAAAATTGACAGAATTCTGGCTCTTTTGCGTTGGTTCTTTTGAACACGCACTCGCTGTACATTAAAGACCTCTATTCTTGACAGCAGATAATCCTTTTGTCTCTTATAGTCAGCTAAATCCCAACAAGCTTTACAAATTGCAGCTCAATCATCTTCATTGAAATCCATGTTGCATTTGTATCTGCAATTACAATTACAGGGTACTGGAGTTTTTTCTGACATGAGTTTTCCAGCTGAATTGACATGGGTTTTTTTCAGATAACTTCTTTCTGACATTTCGTTTCCAGTTAGCTTGATTTGCCTGTCTTATTCTGCTCCCCTGAATGTTTTGTTTCCCTGTTACTTCATCTTGTGTGTTGTCTTGTTGTCCATTATCTTGTGTGTTGTCTTGTTGTCCACCATCTTGGGTGTTGTCTTGTTGTCCATCATCTTGTGTGTTGTCTTGTTGTCCATCATCTTGTGTATTGTCTTTTTTTTCCATTATCGTGTGTGTTGTCTTGTCCACCATCTTGTGTGTTGTCTTGTTGTCCATCATCTTGTGTGTTGTCTTGTTGTCCATCATCTTGGGTGTTGTCTTGTTGTCCATCATCGTGTGTGTTGCCTTGTTGTCCATTATCGTGTGTGTTGTCTTGTTGTCCACCATCTTGTGTGTTGTCTTGGTCATCATGTACATCATCTCGTGCCTTGTTATGTGCAGAAGATTTCTTTGTGGTGAAGAACTGATCATCAGAAGTATCATCACCATCGGAATCAGACGTTTTATAATCTGGATCATTATCAGTATCATCAAACTCGCTTTCCATATCCTCTAATAGTTCCAGCGCCCCCGTAGCATCTAGACATCGTCCTAAAATAAAAACAATAAAATATTTCAACTTCCTTATTATTAATTGCGAAATATCAATATTGTAACATTTATTATGAATTAAAAGTGATCATGTTTTTGTCCTTGGTCGTAGGCCTACTTCAGCAAGAAATGGATATATCCATCAAGGGCTAAACTAAATTTTAATGAAGTACTTTTGGAATATCTTATGTATTATATTACATTATTTTTGTATATAAGGTTACACTAGATAAATTAATTGCCTCTTGCCTCGTCTAGCAGCCATTTAACAAATCACAAAAGTGAAACATCAATTTTATATCCTGTTCTGGTACATTAACAAGGCAGTTTAGGCAGTTATTCAAGGGAAATAACTCTCAACATATAAGTGTTTTATCAGCAAGAACTGGACAAGTGGGATATATACATATCTTGCACTAATGTAGCAAAACAAAATGACAGCAAGAACTCTCTATTTGGAGATACCTTTTTTTTTGCTTGAAAAAAAATTAGTGGTTCTGTACTTAACAATATATGACTTCTCTGTTGCGTCATTATTTATAAAGATAGGACGTCTGACTTTCAGCCCTCGAATTGATATAAAAAGCGCACATGTTGATATGGTTAAAAGGCTGCAGATTCGATCACTGGTCGCAAAGCTCTACACTGTAGTAACATAGAATGTATGATTGATATTTCAGGAAAATCGGAATAATACGTTATTTAAAGTAGCTAAAGCTCTAACTCAGTATCGTCCAAAATCTTCGACATTGAAAACACAAATTATTTGTCAATTTAAAGCAACACTGATGTTGTGATCTTACCGTGAAAAGATGGACTTCTGATATCCAATATTTAAAACAAAATAAACATTTTACGATTGTTACACGAATCGTGTACCATGATGCGTTTCAGCGCTATTTGTGATAAGGGACTCGAAAAACGAGGCAAGGCAAATTCTACAAGTTATGTCAAACGTTGACGTCATATTTTTATCTGGAGAGCATGCACAGTAAATATTATCGGTGTAGACTGGAATAACAAGACGCTAGAGATTGCCATAAAATTGAGACTTTTGGCGTATTTCGCCGAACATAACTGATTAGAAATTAAAGTAAAAACAGAAACGATTGAATGTAAATCAGTTTATATACATTCACATTACATTATTATATGCGTTGCGACCCATTTGTGTCAATTTCCAGGTCCCAAATATTAGCGATTTAGCCCCTTTAAGGATGACCATTGACCGTAAAGTTCTTTGCGTAAAGCTTTAGCATCATCTACTATATCCATTTGGATTTAGTTAGAATCCAGTAAATAATTTAGACATCACCGCTGAAACTTTTGAAATGTACTCAATTTCGGAGGGGTGCCATTTAGAAATAAAGGCGAAATTTACAAATCCATTTAGTGGCCATAATTATGGTCAAGACGTAGAAATTTTGCGCTAGAAACGTCGTTTTTCGCGAAAAATACTCTGTTTGACCTTTGATCCCGGACCTGGTCAAGATAGGTCGAAGTTCGAGTACAATGTGAGATATTTGCACCAGTAAAATTGTTATTCAATTCGATCCTCGTATCTAGGACTAGGAGCTCGACCTAAAAAAAATATCGTTTATAGGTTGTTATTGGCATTAGTATTCAATAACTACAATATTATACTTTGCATAATAAACCCAGTTAACTTCAGAGTATGACCCACAAACATCAAAACTCAATAGTGGCATTGTGATGACACTAGAAAACAGATAAAATAATTCCTCTTTAATGTTTACGTGAAACATTGTTCATTATAAACCCCGTTCTTCAGAATACGGCCAACAAACAACCTTTTACAATAGTGACATTATGGCCATAATAACAACCAGCTTAGATTTATAAAGAACGGGAATTAATATAGCAACCGAAAATAAATCTTTTAACCTAAATACGCACAGACACACAACCTTTCAATTTAATTTCATCATAAGCTGTACAGCTGTCCATTCCAACTTCCATCCACACTTCTTAAAGACCTGGGCCCTTATTCACGAAAACTTAAACTAAGATACAATCGAAATTTTAAGAAATACTGCAATTCGATTGGCTGACCAGTAAAATCAATTTGCATATATCCAATAAAGTTGCAGTATTTCTTAAAATTTCGGTTGTAACTTAGTTTAAGTTTTCGTGAATAAGGGCCCCGAACAGGATTGTCAGTGTTACGGTTGACGCCCCAACAGCAACTGTGTAAATCACATAAACTTCGAAATGTTAAACAGTCATATTCAGAATCTATATTAGAGCATTCCAAATACATCAAACGATACCTGTATAATAAAGTTCAAACTTTTGCCTATTTAACCAGTCATTCTTCGTCTCTATAAATGTCATTCTTAGAATTACAAAAATTATTATAAGTAAGATATATTACAATCAGAACTACATAATCCCTTAGAAATACCAAACATAATTCCGCAAAATATAAGCTAGGTACAATAATTCTCATATTACTCAAATTATTATGATTATAAACCGCAATATCTGTTACCATGTTAGCACTAATATTTCTCTTGACGAAACTAATCGGATTACAATCTGCTTTCATAAAAACAAATGGAATGAAATCGGGTTTAACGTCCTATTGGTCTGCTCTGTCTGGGTTAGTGAAGATGGACATACGCCATAGTGTGCTATGATGGAAATTTTGCCTTCACAGCGGCGCTATGGCCTACACTAATGTCGAATTCCAATTGTCAAGAGTTCTTTATATATGCACGCCAATGTGTGCACGGGATCCCGGTTTTTTCATCCCATTCAAACGACTATCTAATAAACATAAACCATAAGGCATTTAATTAAACGAAATACTATAGAATGAGAACAAAATATACGTATTTTAAATGCAAAATATAGGTCTTTGTCATAAGTGTAAATAGACAATTTACTATATTGGTAAGTAAAAAGTTACTTGCATAAGCATTACTAGGTTATACAAATGTTACTTGCATAAGCATTACTAGGTTATACAAATGTTTTAAATAATAAAATCGGAATTTCACGCAAACATAGATGTATTTTATTTGCCTTGAAGTTTTAAAAACTAGGATTGATCCAAAAATATTTGCTCTACATATTCACACAACTGAGCATTATACAACAATAACCATTATACCCAGCAGGATTAAAGATACATTAGTTAAGAGTTTAATAAAGAGTTGGTCATTCTTGGTATAATAATTCAAAAATAGGTGATAAAAAAAGAAAATATTTAAAATTTCATTCAAATTAATTCATTCTCAGCCAAGTTATCGTTATTGTTTGTAGTTTTGACAAGATGTGTTAAAATCTCGAGTATCCGATGCCATAGAGAGTCGATTATGGTCTTATTTTGTTAATAGATGTCTAATTAATAGTTTATATAACATTTCAGGCCTCAAGAAAGACCTGCAATAGGCAGACTAAGCTCTTGCATAGTGTATGTTTAAGTGATATTATTTTTATTTATTTAACTTATTCTTAAAGCTCAGTCCGAGTCAAATTTTCATTATAGATTACTCATTGATTTTTGTATTATTCGATAAAATATGGCCCTGATTAAAATTATTCCATAATAATTATCATTTGGGAAATGCAAACAATTATTGACGGCGAAACATCAAAATTGGCTAGTAAAAAATGACTTCATGGATTTTAATTGTGGACAATTGCATGTTTTTATTCTTTCTTTTTGTTGATTCGTGGGGTCTTATTTAATGAAAGTGAAACAACTTTGCTTCATGTTTATAGGCATTATTGTTTAGAATTACCAATAGCATTTGTTCTATATTCTACAATAAAACGTTGTTCTACCAAAAAGAATAATGTTGGTCTCTACTAAACGTCGCATGATACAAAGAAAATATATTGTTGATGTCAAATAAATGCTAAAACTACCATAACGTTTTTTATTTACCTATTTATAAACAGTTAATTGTATAGAGCTGCACCGCTCATAAAAGACAAGAAATAGCCTTTATTATTATTATCATGAAAGTGCGGTCTTCAATAATTATTCCGTGAAGAAAACACCCTTTTCAATGGTAGCTAATCGTACGTTACCTTACTGTATAATTGTCCTACATGTTAATAAAGACTCCTTTATGCGGAAAGTAAAATCATGATAGCCAATCATATTCATTGGAAGAGCTCGGCCATATCCATGTTGCTTAAATAAACAAAAATTATGTCCAATAAAAAGCATTATCGGATTTTCAATAATTTCATTGGATGTTTTGATAGCATCAAAATGTATAAATATGGACATAATGGATCATTACTTCAGAGGTATACAAGGAGGAGAGAATGGACCTAGTGAGAACAATGGAGACTAACAACATACCATTCAACACTAAGAATCTACTCTTCCCGCGACCAGATTTGAAACTGCAAATCTTCGAACAAATCCACGCCCTAATGGACACAGTTGGACTAAGTAGAATAGTGAAGTAAGAGGGGGTCACGGCTAGACGGGCTCGGCATCTAAACACTAAACTACATAGGGGATTTATACCACACTGGCAGGATAGTGGAGTAAGGGGGAGTCACGACCAGACGGACTCGGCATCTAAACACTATTCCGCCAAAAACAGACACCAAACCTACAGAGTGGGATAGTGGAGTAAGGGGAGGTCACGATAAGACGGGCCTGGCACCTAAACACAAACCCCTCAAAGATGACATCTACCAAACTAGCAGGATAGTGGAGTAAGGGGGAGTTACGATCAGACGAACTCGGCACCTAAACACTATTCTGCAAATAAAAACTAACACCAAGCCCAAAGAGTGGGATTGTGGAGTAAGGGGAGGCCACGACAAGACGGGCCTGGCACCTAAACACTAACCCCAAACGATGACATCTACCAATCCAGAAGCAGACGAAATCATCCATCAAACGATATGTTTTATATTAAATAAAGGGAAGAACTTCCCACTAAACCAAATCCATGGCCTAATGCCAAATGGAAAGATTGCAAAATCATATTCTAAAAACAGGAATC